GTGTAGATGTATTTAAGCAAAACAGTGACAACAAGATCGCGAATTCGACAGTGAAAGCATCCGAAGCCCGCGGCTTAACACAGCAAAAGAGAAACTCCCATTCACAAAATTCAAATCACAAATAATACTACTGATGATAAAGAATGGGTTGAATGTTAACCACTTTCGTTTCCATATCTATAAACTATGGCAAAAGTTAATCAGCATGCATTGAATAATCCCATAAGCACAAAAAAATATATATAATATTGCGACCAAATCATGTGCTCGTGCGACCAGCTGAGAAAGTTAGTTGCAAAAGAGCGACCAGTGGGAAGAATGAGTCTGGAGCCTCTTTGGTTTCTTTTGGTGTATGACTCCCCCTTGTGTCGTATAAAAAGCACAATAATCGCGGTTGTCTGAAACAACCACGGTTAGATCAAATAATCTCGATTAGACGGTTATTTAATTATCGCAACAGGCCTAATTTTACTTTCATTTTATTACTAGTAGGCCAACAGCGCCCCCTCTATGTAAATACAACACCTTACCGAACAGGCATTCGGACCCGGGGGAGGCTGCCGCTGCTGATACTGCAAGCGCTAGAAACTGTTGACTCCATCACACACCGAACGCATCATCTTGTACGTGCATTCTCAAATTAAATGCAGTGGTCCAAAACAGCGAATCTAATCATCATTCAGGCAAAAGTTAGCTTCAAGAGTGACCACACTGCTGACGTGATCTAATCGCTAACACATTCTGAGCACATGTGAGTTAATCCTCTTATTGGCAAGACATATCGGCATAATTTTTCATATCGGGCCGATGCCGATATTTGCATTTTAAGCCATTATCGGCCGATTCCGATATCGGTCCGATAATATCGTGCATCCCTAGCATATATACATATATGTATACAGTGTTTCCCCTAGGTTTATGGCTTTGGGGCTTTTTTTTTTTCTGGACTCCTTTTTAATGGTTAAATTAAATTGTATTAATCAAAAAGCATGTCTAATTAAAATCATGAAACTTAAACAATTTAACATCAGTTTATTAAAAGTTTAACAAATATTACATGTTTAGGGCCCTATGAAATGTTTTATTTTTTCCAACCTTTGTTTTATTTTTACCAAATTCTGTTTTAGCATGTCTAATTATTTGAAAGCATAAAAACATGTTTCATTTATTCTTACAATAGCCTTATGATTTTTTGCTCAGAAATTCTGTGTTGTGTATTTGCATTTTTTTAAGGCATAAAACATTCATTTAATCTATCTTTTAAGTAATGAAAATTAGACCGATATCGATATATCGGCCAATATTCTTTGTGTAGGCAAGATTACAGTACAGTACAGTCAAAAGTTTGGACACACTTCCCATTTGTCTGTCCAAACTTTTGACTGGTACTGTATATAGAATACAGTATATAGCCTACATAAACCGAATATATATATACATAAACACATTTTTTGCAATGATAACTCAAATGTGCTGATCAAATGCTTATAAAGATGTGACAAACATAGGCTTATGTAGTGGAGGCAGGGTATTTAACAATAAACTTTATTATTCAAAGAATATATATATGTGTATATGTACTGACCCGTTTTTTATTTATTCATCAAAAATAAGACAAATTCAATTAAATTCTGCGTTATACAGTCAATTCCGTTTTTATGACTGGATTCCGCGATTCCATGTTTTCTGCATCGCGGAAATCATTGGGCCCTACTAATGTAGCAAACTAATATGATAAGCTCATTGTGAGAGTAAAAAACGGGGACATTGTTATTTATTTACTTAGCATTGAGTGTCTCCAACTAGGATAAAGGCATACTAGCAAAAAGATACTAACTTTTCAATCTGCTACGTTACTGTCTGTACTGACAAACTATGCTGACACCGTGTCTGCGCCACAACAGGACGCGACAACGTGACCGTTGAAATCATTTGAACTTTGTGCCAGCACGAGGCATCAGTTTACTGCATCCAGTGTAGACAACATCACTGATTATAATGGGTTTTATTCTACACCGGATGCGAGCGATGTGATGTGACCGATGTGATAAGCATGAGTTCTGGGCCGCGGCGTGGCCGGTAAACACCAGCATTGAGTGGCCGCGATCAGCTCCGGTGGCCGTAACAGGCTTTAATGCGCCGCAGACGCGTGCCGTG